TTGACCTCCAAAACGCTGTCGCTCCTTCACGCCGGTAGACACTTCGTTTCGCGACTGGCCCGGAGAGCTCCGCAAGTCTAAGCGCCCGGCAGAGCTCTTTATACTGGCCCGGCACGCTGGAGGCATCAGCGATTCTCAGCGCGTTGGCGCACCCAAAAAGGCCACTAATTCAGAATGACCCCAGTCAGGCTGCTGTGTTGCTGTTGGATCACGTCGTTCCTTCAGCACGTTAAAAGTTCTTCAGTTCGTGACCGAAGGACCAGGGGACGAACTGCCAGGCCTGTCTGTGACGGAAGCAACCAGGGGTCAAGTGCGGTCACGAACTGAAGATGCATGGTGGCTGCCAGTCCCCTTGGCACGTGGATGTGACCCACTTGCTGTCTCATACACCCCCCTTGAAATCATCATGGTTGCGTGGATGCCATGGCCGCAAGGATCCCCAAGGCAACCATGACATCCGAAGATCAAACAGGTGAGTTCACTCCACTTCCACGATGATTTCATATGATTGCAGGGAGTCTACCTCTCAGTTGTAGGTGAGGAAAACGCTGTTTGAATAGTTTCAGGAATCCAGGAACCCAGGAACAGTTCTCCTAGGTGAGGTGAGGACAGTTCTGGTGTTCTGTGTTGGATCAACTGATGTCAAGTCCCTTTCCGCGATGTGATCAGAAACATGACCAGGCCGAAAGCAGTTGGGATTCCCAGCTCTTTCGCTTTGGGGTTCAACTCGGGAGGAAGCTCAGAAGTAGAAGCTCATTGAAGATTCCCAGTCCACCAGTCTGACATCTTTCAGCTGGAAACAACCTTTGGTCAAGTCTTTGCCACTCGTCCAATCCTTAAACCCAAAAAGAAAAGAGATGACGGCAAATTATGGCAAATTCGTCCTGAAGCTGCGCGCCAAGAAGCTGCAAGATCTTGTCATATGCACCCTTGAAGAAGGCCAACACACCTCAGGCCAACCCGCCATCGCTGGCCAACACCATTCTCACTGTTCGCTTCGGGCACGGAGTAAAAAAGATGGAGATGGGCACGGAGTAAAAAAGACCGGACCGGCCTGGTACCGTTTAAATATATTGGCGGATGTAGCTTCGTTCACTCTAATCCAGGAAGGGCGCCATTTTTGCCTCACCTGAGTCATCTGGTAATGGATCTGAGCGGATCCCGGCCTTTGGCTCCACAGGGGCAAGGCCTGGTGATCTTTTATGAAACGTCCGGGTGTTGGCAGCTTAGAATGCCTCGAGCAGCACGTACCACTCCCAGCTTCCACTCCCAAGTACCCTCGCTCCGACCATCAACGAAGGGGAAAAAGATGGAGAAAGACTTCTTTCGCTTCTTTGTGGAGGAAAACAGTCTTCGATTGGGGGAAACACCTTTCTACCTCCATCATTATGAATATGGAGGAGGCCTTTTCTGGGTACGAGCCAATGGACACACAGAAGCCAATGGCACAGACCACGTGCTAGGTGCTAGGTGCGAAAAGCGCATCTCCATGCCCAGGGGCGGTTGGAACGCTTGCAGCGAACCACTGCACCGCTGGTCATGCGGTGATGGTCGAACTCCAGTTGCCGTAAGACTTCCTGAGATAGAGTGTTGCGATGGGCATGGAGTTTTGTCCGGGTGTCTACTTTGTGACAGGGGGGGTTCTTGCGGTTCTTGGATCCTCTGTGCTTCGGATCCTTTATCATCTTTATCCTTTTGGTTTAGAGCTCTGGTTGTCCTCTGTGGTTCCTCTTACAGGAAATTCCTATCACAAACATAAGGGGGCACAGCCGGAGATACCAAAAGGCCTCTCACTCGCAGGATGGTGGCGCAGGAAGTCTTCCTATCCACAAGGCTCTTTACGTGTACGACTATGCTGCGTAACGACTATGCTGTATGTGTCGTACTTGGCGCATCTAAATTCCCAGTGATGAGATGGCCCCAGTTTAGGGAAGGTGCACCCCCGTCTATCTCAGTGATCTACGCATATTATAACCAAAACCTCTAGCTCAAGGATGGTCTTGTCACGTCTTCCAAGCCATTGATTAGTTGGATTTGCTTAAGGAACAAGGATAAATCATATGAATACTTCGTAGCACAGGGATTCACCCACAAAAAGTCACAGAAATCACCCCATCCATCCATATCCCCCATCCACAAGACCCAAATTGCCTATGGCAGTGGATGGTCAAACTCGTGTTGGTCACATCGCGTTCAGTCCAGTTTCCACCAAAAAACAAAGGTCCCAGTCACAAGGGACTCGTGTTGGTCCCTCCCTGCGGCCAAACATCGATCGCTGGAAAATCGCACCGCACGAACTCGTGTTCGTGTTAGGTGGGGGACACAAAGTATATAATCCAGCTGGCAACCCCATGCATCCCCATGCCACTAGAAAGGGGAAGAAGGGCTTTAGCATGTGATCCACGAAGATTCTGTGCAGGTTATGTAGACCGATCGTTGAGTCATTTTTAAACTCACCCAACGGCCCAACGATCGGTCCATTCCAGCGGAATGGCCCTTTGGTGAGCACTTATACATGATGTGCATGTGGCACGATGAAAACCACAGCACCACCCCCTGGAAGGAGGAAAATAGACGAGTCTACCCCACCAGGGCCAGGAAGTGGCAAACTGTGTGAGAGAGGGTGGTCCAAGGACGTATTTCATAGATTTTGAGACCTTCATCTATACTTAACAGCTCAAAGGATTCACAATACCCTTATCCAAATTCTTGGCTTCAATACAGTACCACATGGCAGTGGGACCACTGCCTTCGGATCTGCAGGGCCCTGGGAACACCAGCGACAGGTATCCCCAGAATCCACAAGAGCTTCGACCGCGCAGTCCGAAAGTTCAAACAGCAGCAATTTGAGATGCTGGTTCTTCAGTCCAGCGTCCAGTTCATGCACGCCATCTGCAGAGCGAACGCATCGCGCTTCGCCAGGAGCTGATAAGCTCCAATGGAGGGCTTTGACAGTGACGATCTCGACCTGCCAAAGGCTTCGAGCAGGTCAAGTTGAGCTACAGATAGCTACAGTTTGTTCAAAAGACTGGACCTTGTTACAGTGGTTTCAGAGTAAATGGCACAGTCCCCAGTCATCTTGGGGGTGCCAGTACCATCGAACCTCTGACACCATGTACATACAACCAGATCTACTTATACGGTCAAATCCTTGGAACCATTTCCACTGACGTGTCACTGTTCTGCAACTCAGAAATCCGTGATCTTCGGAATCTTCACTCTTCCAAAACCGGAAAAGATCGACGTCGCCAGCATCCGAATCCCCAGGAGTTCGCTTGCGATGGTCGATCTTTCGCGGTTGATCAAGGTCGATCTCCAAGCGGAGCGGAGCTGGTGAGCTGGTGGGTCACCCAATCGACTCCGACTCCGGGAGCGTCGTCGGACGACCAGGGCGACACGTGGCACCCCACGTCGGACGAGGCGATGTCGATGTCAAAAGGAATGAGTTCAATTGAGCGGCCGGTCGAAATGGGGTATGGTATGGAATGCAGAAAAAGGATGAAACACATTGTTTCCCGTTGTATACAATATATCAAGCTTGCCGAATTCCCCATGCCGGGATTGACCGGTTCGGGGAACACCCGAGAGGACGCACCTGATTGCCCACCAACGTGCCGTCGCGCATGGTGGAGACGCTGTGACAGCCTTGGATCTGCATCGAACCTGAGGAGTTATCCTTCCCTGAAAAAAAAGAAAACAAAAACAAAAACCTCCCTGGAACTAACGTATCATTATATCTGGAATGCAATATATCTGATGGAAGTGGAACACTAATTGTTTGTAGAGGAGACATGAGGAGACTGGTCGTCATCCTTTCGAGGAGAGCGCCCTCCACTTCCATGGAAGGGGCTGTGCGCGTTTCGAAAAGCGGAAAACCGTCACCTGCATCCATGGAAAACCGGCATGAACATGGGAGAGTGAACGTTAAACAATGCTATTATTCTAATTATACTATTGTGTGTTAACATGATTTAAGCATATTTTGTATGTCGGTTGAATACTATAATGTTATATTTTAAAGAACACGTTGATATGGACAGGGCCCGACTCCAGGATCAACACAAAATATGAAACATGCAAATAAAAGTTAAACCAAAAAGGCACAACAAAAAACATGCCAATCATTGAAAGTCCAAAAGGCAAAACAAAGGCAACAAAAAGCAATGGACAGGGTTTAAACATTTATTTGCCAAAAAAGGTAAATTAAACTGAAGTAAGCAAAACAAAGGCACAAATGTGTTTCTTTGGTGGGCGACTTTGGTTCCAAGGGTTGCCTTACTTTAATTTATACATTTAATTTGCATTATGTTTTATGCCTGTTTGATCATTTTGGATTTTCAATGATTTGCCTTGGCCTTTAACTTGCTTTTTTGATTTACCTTTACCTGTTTGGCACCTTTGTTTTAATCTGAAAACATACTCTCTCCAATCAACGTTTTTGTGTAACTATAATGTATCCTCGCTTGTCCCCCACCCAGAAACACGTGATAGTGAGACTGGCTGAGATCCCTACGTCAAGAACTGACATGCATATTGACATGTATAACAATAACTGTACAACATGATGGTTCAGCTTGGCACCTTACTTTACTCGCGTCCAAATATCCACACATCGATCTGCAGTAGCTTGCAACGAAGGAACCAACCTATACCTGCAGCATTCTGTCTGGGTGTCCAATGGAAGCCCACGTACGTAGTGTAGGGCAGTCCGACCAATCCCATGGTCCTGACACCCTTCTCAAACACTCCTTTCGCATCAGGTGTCTGAGATCAGATTGCACATAATTACATTGCATGCATTGTCATTGCCATGCACTACTTGGTCCAACTTGGTCCCCTTGATGTCGATTGAAGGCCTTCTTCGAGAAGCAATAGCCACGATGACATTGTGTTTCTTTGTTTCCGGCAACATGCTTCTGCTTACCGAACACCGAAGTCAAATGCAGCATTTGGCTGCTAAAAAACACATAAACATACTGACTGATGCTTCCAGCGTAGAGTCACTTCGAAACAAGCTGCTCCATTGAGGTCCGTTGGTGGCTCAACCGAGCGCCCATGAGCCTGGCGCCCTCTGAGCGGCTCTCCGACGGCGGAACCTTGGAACGTTCCGTGGACTCGATGGACTCTATGGACTTGGATGAGCATGGACTTGGATCATTTCCAAAGGCTCCACCAAGGAACTGCGAACGCCTGACCTGAACAAAGTCTGATGGGCTGTCACTGATCTCTGAGGTGGCCGAGTGGATGGAGCATCAGTGGAATTCGGCACGCCTGTAGGACTCAATGCCATGGCATTAAGAGGCACCCCGTGCTTTGGGCGATCCAATTCCCAGGAACAGTCTCCCTATCAAGCTTCTCAATCGGGAGTGCCTTTGAAGCACAGGCTGCCTTCACCTTGAAGTCATTCTCTGCAATGCCACGCGTCTTGCTCTTCCCTTTGGTGGCAGGGGTCTCTAGCTTTGGCCTCTGGCTTTGGTCACTGCCTCTGATGATGTAGGGTCCACTGCGTGCACGCATGGAGTCAGGGACGCATAGAAACAGATAGAGACCATCAATGTCTCCACCAGTGATCATCACATCTTTGGCTCTTCGGCTGCTTGGCATTCGCGATGGAAGCTCACGTGGTTGTCAGCTCGCGGTGCTGTCAGCTCGTTAGAGTCATTACTTCGTTTTCAACGTGAAGGTTGGCTGTCTCAGAAAAACCTCCAAGAAAATTACATGAACGTAGCCTGACTCACAGGCCAATGAACCTCCGGCATTAACATCATCGAGGTCTATTGCTTAGCCATCAGGATCGCCAAGCCTTTTTTGAGAGCTATTTCTGAATCAACTTCTTGACCAAATACACCGGCCCAATCATCCTCCGTCAACCAAATAACCCACAAATTGAGACACCCTCACCCAACGAAACGGTTCAAGCCAAACCAATGAACCCAAACCTGCATGTTTTTGAGATCTCGCCAAGTGGCCACCCAAGGCCTTGAGGAAGATCTCTTCTTGAAGCCCAGGAAGCTCCGATGCCGGCACCTGAAGGTGACAGTCGCAAGTAGCCAAACAGTCAATTCAACCCTCGGGCGTTTCTCATATTGTATGACCAGCCCGAGGCACGAGGCCCAAAAAAAGAAAGGATTCCGTTTTGTTAAAGTTCGGAATGGCCACATGGTACCAACAACTTGTTTTTCGTCCATGAAGTCGGCAGCACCGTCCAACCACCGCGTAAAGCCTGGAAGACCTGAACCATTGCAACAAACGTTGGCCAGCAAACTCCGGGAAGTTCCCAGCCGCCCAGTCAATCGCCTCCTCTTGAAACTGTCCGTTCACAACAGGCATCACCGCCGCCAAATCCATGCCTGGCCAATCCAACACTTGGATTTGTTGTTGAGGAACCGGGAATGCATGTTTTTTTCTCCAGAAGAGGATACATCCACAGGGAAAATAAGAATGGCCCTAAGCAAAACCATGAAAAGCAATGAAAAGCATATGACAGGTTCCAGGGTTCTGAAGAACGGTTCAGCTCACCAGTGGCAGCCAGAGTCAACGTCAAAGGGTCTAAAAATGAGTGGATCCTTGTTGAAAGTTCTCGGTAGGAGGTAGGACCCCAGGGCTCCATTTTGAGGTCTAGAATTCCGGGCGATGCATATACCCAATCTATATCTATCTATCTATCTATTTATCTATCTATCTATCCCAATAATATGTATACATATATATATATATATATATGTGTGTGTGTGTGTTGGTTCCCCTCCAAGCCAGCCTCAAGAACTTCTGAGAAATGTGAGTGAATCTCATATCACTTGTCGAAGAACTACTTCAGTGAGGGAAGGTTGACCATGGTTCATCGAGACCCTCTCATGAGCTCTTCGACGATTTATCGGTGTGGGGCTTCACTAAGCTTGACTAGTTGCCTGATGTTGCCTGCAGCATCCCAATTAGAACCTACCTTCCAGTTCGACCAAAAATACAAACAAAAATAAGTAATACTAATAAAACATATCAAAACCCATCTCTGGGCCAGGGTGTCTGCCAGAGTACCACACCCATCGATCGAGGGACTCTGATGGTCTAGATGATACGTTGGTTGCAATTCAATCGATCCAGAAAGTGGGCACTTCTGGGCACTTGCTCCAAAAAGTGATCGGCTTCAAACACATGGGTCTCATGAAGCCTGGTCAAATTCACTCAGTCAGCTTTCCTGAACTCGAAATCGTTGTTGTTCTTCAATGTTCATCAAGTTTCCATGGTTCTGTCGGCGAACCATAAATATGATCTTTCCAAGTACATGTCCAGCTTCCCCGAGGTGACCTCCGCCGCTGCTTCAAGGCCGCCCGTTTTCGGATTGTGGCACGCTGTCTGAGAAGGGAAGCCCCTATGTGCTACAGGCGCATGAAGCCAGGCATTGCGGCTACTAATACAGCCATTCTACTACCTGGGGCGTGGCACTTCAGCCAGTGGTGTGCCTGACCTGGGGTCCCGGCATGTTCTGACCCAACTTGACATCCATATGAAGCACCTAGACAGCCATTAGTCATTAGTCATTAGTCTAGTCAGCCTTCCTCTGGCAACAGCTGTGCCAAGCCTCTGTCGGATAACATCTGCATGTTCATCGGCACCAAGTCAGTGCAGATGATTAAGTCGAATTTGTCGAGCGGCGCCAAGTGGCACTTGGCACATCTTGGCACCTAGGGATATTTGAAGCAGATTGAAACAACAGATGTACCTGCGCGAATAATTAAGGGGATTTAACCTCTATTAGAGACTTTAGACCCAATTTGGAAATTTAGAGGTTGTTCATTGAACAAATTAACGACTATAGTCTTTAAGTATCTTTAAAAAGGTTGGAACATCTAAATAACGACTTTTGGACGATCAGGGATCCTTCAAGTTGATGCCCATCCGGTCTCAACACGCACCCCCATCCATCTGGTGGAAGAAGATGTTCCGATCATCCGACAACCCGAACCACGTGGCTTTTGGAGCGAACATGACGATCTGCCGACCTGGTCAGCACCGAGCACGGTGGGGGAAACCCAACCCGTGCACTCGTGCGGCGCGGGTTTGCCAACACGGAGAAAAGGATGCCATGTTCAACACGAACTGTCTGGGACTCTGGGACTGCCATATTTGGCCGAACAGTTGGGTTGGGTTGGGGGACAATCTTAAACCCTACTAGTAGGGCTCCAACCATATCCTCAAAATGTGGTTAGACTTCCTAAACTTGACGCTCCAACTGACATGGAAGTGGAAAACCTCCTGTTTGTCAAGGACAGTAGTCTTCCAAGGGACCATTTTCCAGTTCCATGTTAGTGAGTCAGAGTGTAATATCTTCATATCTTTCAGTCCCCAGGTCGTGTCTGCGTCAGGACCGCATGGCTAAGGCCCAGCCCACAAAAAACTAGGGATTTTTGATGTCAGGGAAGGTCGAGTCAAAACCTCGTTCCATGCGTGTTCCTTTCCAAAGCCTTAACCCTTTACAAATCTTTAACCAAACTTTGGGCCTGGGGAGAGATGATTCATCCTTGGAACAACCCAATCCTTGTCTCTCGACATGGATTTGCTGTCCAGGAACCGGTAAAAATACATCTTACCCAAAGGGAGATTTTAGCATTAGAGGGAACATAACATTCACCCTAAGCGAAACTAAGCTAGAGAAGCTCAGGAATTTCTCAAGGGTTTCTCCAACTGTCATGTTGGAGTTGAGGGTAGTCCGTCGTGCTGTTCTCGATTCTACACCTTTGACCTCTCTACTTCCAACTTTTTGGAACCCAAGACAACGGTTCTGCGCTGCTTCGTCCCTGCTAGCACCATGTTGGTGCTCCTCAACGATGGCATGGATCCGCTTTGGCATGGGCTTCTGTGCTGATTTCTTGAGCTTTTCACGGACGGAACCGAAGTCATGATCCTAATATCCCTAATTAAGAACACCTAGCTCAAATCCCAAGTTGAGTGCTCTTGGGCCAATCCCCATCCAAGCCCCAAAGACCCCCATGACCCTCATTGCAGCATTGATTCGCTAAGATCTTTGGGAGGGGAGTCCCCAAGCCCGTGGATGTCCAAAGATGGATGATGATGGTTCAGTCCAGCTGGAGGACGCCAAAGATAGGAACAGATTCGCCCTGGATCTCTGACAATGGGGTAAAAGCACCTGTTTCTTTTTGGGGGTCATGTTTCCTGTCTAAGGTACTTCCAGATTCTCAAACATCGGAGACATCATGAAGCATCCGACTTGTGTATTTTCATAAGGAGACACCAAATCAATCGGTGTCGATCTATGTTTCTTCATCCATTTGGTCTTTGGGAGCTTGATGAAGCAAGTTTCCGCACGACCATGTCCTTTTTGTCCATCCAAAGCATTGGATCTCGGAGGCCCCCCGTTGGATCACCGACACGAGGGCCTGAACGGGTTGTTCGGGTCGCATGGCCCAAACTGGCCACGGCGGTCAGTCCAAAGGCCCGATCGGAGGATGGCCAAAGCGTTGAAACAGGGATTCAGCGCAAGGCTCCACATCCAAGACTTTCCAAGGGTCGCCTCCAAGCTTTCAGGGCGAAAAGAGGCGGTTTTTAGGGTTCTCGTGCTGCTCGTGTTGAATGGCCCTTAAGCTGTTTGGTTTGATGGGCTCACTGGCGTTAAAGCCTCAGAAACTGCATGAAATTGCAGACAATGTCCATGTCGACTCTTGATGAATAACACTCCCCGGCACATGGCCTGTAGGACCTCTTCATATGAGAGGTGGAAATATGGGGCCAACTTCTCCAAGGACTTCAGACATGTGCATCGGTCAGCCGCAACTAGCATCCGCATGTACCACCCTGGTTCATTCTCCACGGCACAGAAAGGCCTAGAATCTTTTGCAGGTGGAAGCTTGGCACTGTTCCAGATTGACCCCTGAACCCGTTGTTCAGTTATTTTCCATATTAGAATAGGGAAACCCTTTTTCTCCCTAACCTCTGGGAACATCAAAAACAATCCTTGACCGCTGAGACCCTTAGGAGGTGCCCCTAAACTACGTAAGCCACCCTTGGGTGATATAACAACACTACTCAGGGATGTTTAAAAAAATATAACAACACACACAAAAAAAAAAAAACTATAGGGTCAGTAGACTGAGTTGTACTGGGTTGTATAGGTTTTACTGGGTCAGACTGGACTTGTAGGGCCATATTTCCTTGCCGTCCAAGATTCGCAAGAACCCTCCTCCTGTTAAAACCACCTCTTTTCCTGGTCAGGCCGTACCACCCTCGTAATTCCTGAATCAGTTCTCTGACGACAACCCAGTGGATCAGGAGGAGGGAAAGGGACTCATGCAACTAAAAGCAGTGGAACCCAGCTTTACATCTGAATTGCTGATAGAATTCTCTGCTTGAGACATGATATGAAACGATTTTGTACCTCATGAGAATTGCTTGAATTTTCATTCACTCAAATGGACACCAGAGTAGGTCCAGCGGTTTGCTTCGTTGCAGCGTCGCTTGGCCCGGCCGGCCGTCAGAACTTCGGCAGGAAGTCTTGTCCACACAAGGGGCATCGAAATCTCCTCACGCGTCGGCACAGTGAAACGGTCACGTCTCTTCAGAGCCGGCCGTTGGATGAAGGGTGGACGCAAGAGCAAAAACTGTCACCAAACTCTTGTTCTGCTTCAACTACCCTTTTGAAGGTATTTGTGGTGGGATGGGATCTAACCGAACAGGTAGTTGGAACTACTGTTGGAACTCGATCGAGTAGCAGGAAGCGGATCTATCACGCCTCTGAATCCAAGTGCCAGTGCCCCCAAAACCAGTCCATCAAGTACTAGTGCACCCAAAACAAATCCACCAAAGTGTGGTCCCTAAGTGTGGGCCATGTCCTCCACGGAGTCACAGAAGTGAAGAATGTCGAGGACTGATCTTAGACTCTGTTTTGTTGATGCATAAAACTTCCCACCTGCGGAAAGAGGACAACATTCTGGAGACGTGGTCTTTGATGATCGAGCATCTACAAGTCTACATGGGCCCGTCAGTTCAATCGAATCAATTCCAAGTTTCATCGGATCAGAGAGTGAGAGGACGACCTATCTTGCGTCAATCTTCAGATCGATCCTATGCCAGCCGAGTCTTGTTCTCCTCCGGGACTACCACTTTTACCTACATTGAGGGTCATTACAGGGATCAATGTATACATATGTATACCCTAATCTTCAAAGGCTAAGTTTAACTTCGACGTTGTTTCTGTCTATGTTTAACCAGGTTAAACTTCGTCGTTCTGCGGAGTCTGTTCTGTTTAAGACAACTAACATGAGTAAAACTTAGACGCACTAAGGTGTACAAGTTTAACTTCGACGTTTCTCATTGGCTAAGTTAAACTTCGACGTTG